ACCATTGACAGGTAGTAGAAGACGGGATGTGATAAAGTGCATTGTCAAGGTTCCTCAGTTGGATTTACTAATAGCAGCTTCTCAGAGAGGATTAATCACAGTCTTTAACAGCCAGGTAAAGTGAAATCTTGGATTCCTCCCTCTCTCCCCCACTTCTTCCCTTCCTCCCTCCCACCTCCTTTCTTCCTCTCTTTCGTTTTGTCTTTACATTGTACATTATGTATCAGGTGCAGCAGAAACCATAAACCATATTTCAGAGATATTCTAAAAAATAAAACCAAATATGACTAACATGATATTGCTGAACCCCAGAGAAATTTTTGAGATTTTTGGTAACTGCTTTTGGCATTGTTTCTCAGGGTGTCATATTGACCCATGTGATATCAGCACAATTAAAGGATGATCCCGGAAAATGTCTCCGATAAAATCAGAAAAACTCACAGCCAAGTGATTTTGTCACAGTCCTACCGAGTAATAAAAAGTTCCAAACAAGAACTTTGGACTTGGAATGAAAAAAGGGCTCAAATTCTAGCCCCTTTATTGTACCAGCTACGGTGTTAAGTAGGGAACTTACTGAGCCAACTTATATCTTTTCACGCTTCTTTTTTCACATCTAAAATGAGGACATTAGGACCAGTCCTCTCCCCCTCAGAGGACTGCAGGGAAGTGGAATGAGGGAACCAGTGCAGACGCACTGTATGAACAATAAATTCCCATAGAAATGGAAGGCATTGCTCTTGTTCATGTCATTTCTTTCTGGATTTATAAGCTTTAGACTTCTATTTTGAAAAGAACAGAGAGTTTAATGGAATGGATGATGATATCGTCTACATTGTATTTCACTATGAAAATAGAAGGTGAATGTTCGGTGTTAAATATAAAAAGCAATTTCAATTTTTAGTTGATTTGCAATGAGAGCCAAGCTTGGTACAAGTAAAACATGAAAATAGTCATCACATGACTGAAAGTTCAATAATCGTTTTCCACTCTTCAGTGATCCCCCTTGCAGGCAGCTGGTTTCTGTCAGGGGAGGGCCGCCTGCGCCTGGAGGTGGGGTGGTGAGGGATTCTGAGTGTGGGTGTGATGCCTGGGCCCCTGCTCAGCTGTGTATTATTTATCTCCATAGTGTTTATCTCCTCATTCACAGCCAGGGAACTTCCCTCTCTGGGTAGTAAGTTGTGCTGATAAATGCATGAATATGCTTAAATTGCTTTGCATCACTGTAAACGCTCAGAAAATGTTGGCAATTGGGATTATGAACACATGGTGTGAAAATAAAAGGAGAACGTCTTCCTCAATCTCTTTTTTTCAGTGCATTATTTCCCTTCTCATGTTTTTACTTTATTTCCTCAAAAATAGAATGACGATGGTATCTAAAGAAAAATGTGAGAAGGAAAAGAATGATTCTTATAATGAAATGGTTCAGGATTGCGTGAAATAAGTGAGGTGGCATTATCCCATTTCCAGGGTTGTGTCTCGCACACACACCCACAAACACACTAACTCACTTACACATGCTTTTAGATAACACATGTGTACTCACAAGCACACAGACACATCAGTTTCTTATAAGATAATGTAAATGGAGAGGAAAGATTGCTTGAACAATTATTTTAAGATTTGATACACCAGGAATAAATAGAATTTTGAATGTTTCATGCCTTAGAAATTGGATGACACATTTTATGGGAAAAGTAATTTGGTAGGGTAGGGCACAGGAATAATTTATTAAAAGGTAGTCATTAATAATTCAAAATATTTTATAACAGGTTAATCCATAATTTAGGATCTATCTGAAGTCGAGTAAATACATTTAAGAATTTTCTTGGTGCTCTCTGGAGGACTTGGTAATTCAGAGTATAAATGTCATTAATAAAAATTCCTGCAAAAAAGGCTAGATTTTAAAAATTCAAAAGCTATCTATAAGGATTGTGAAACTTTTAAAGACAATAAGAGAACTTTAGTGACTTCCACTAAAGATGGAAGTCAAGAAATTGAAGCATAACCACACGTATTCTGTTCTCTGCTCACCAATTTCCTGAGAACACTTTTTCCCTTTTAGACATAAGTCCTTGATTGGAAAGCTTTTTGACCACTACTTGCAGTTTTTAGTAATCACCCTGATTCTCCTTTTCACATAATCCATTCCTTCTGGGCAGCTATTTCCTAAACCTCAGAGCAGGCAAAAGATACCAGGTCATTAATATACTTCAACTAAACAATTAACATGCCAAACAGGTATAAGAGGCTGTCCCTGACTAGCTCTGCCTGGAACAAATCTATTATCCTCAACTCCGATAGTGCCCAGGGCGTGATATTCATTCAACAGATACTTACTGAATAAAAGAGGAGCCCACTGGATACAATGCTCTTAATTCTCTCCATAACTTGAGAGATTAACTTTCAAATAAAGAACTGGTTTTTTCCTACATGAATCCATACTCATATGGAGCTATTTTGCATTCTTTTAATGACTCTTGCCATTGCTGTTAGTATTATTTTGCATTCCCAATTTTTGATACCAAATGTTGCTTTGAATAACGAAAGAAAGTGAGGCAGTTTGCAAATAGAAGGAACACAAGAAATTAGTAAAGTGTAAGACTCTTATGAGTACAGTCAGTCACCGGGCTCACAGACAAGCCACAGAAGCAGAAGCCGTGGCCAAAGCAAACAGAGCTTTATTCCACAGAACTAGAGTCTTCAGAGGGAGAATTAGGGGGGAGACTCATGGAAGGAGGCAGGGCAGGTGGGATTGAACCACGGGGGTACCGTGTTAAGAGTCAGCACGCTCACCTTTAATTGTAGTGCCAGCTAGATTTCATTATTCTCTTCTTTTCTTTTTATAGATGAGAGTGCAGGCCAGCACCACTGTCACAGTAAGTCCACGTTTTTTGGGGTTTTTTTAATTTCTAAGTCAAATTTAGGGCTAGGATGATGGTTCCTCCATAACAAATCACAACCTCAGTGAGGTTCTCGGGTAATAAGATGTTTTCATTGATTGTGAATGTAGGTGTAATGACTTTAAATTCTGAGCAACAGCCAAGGGGACCCAATTCTTGCTTTCTGGAATTAAACTGATTGCAGAGAATTGCTTGGAAACTGATTACTCTTGGAAGCTTCCATTTAAAAGCTTCACTTAAGTTCTTCCGAGCACGGGCTACTGAGGAATGTAAATAAACAATCGATATAACCCAAGTTGTGAGAACACCAAGGAAACAGCCAATGGGGAAAAAAAATTAAAACAGTTTACTTACTTCGAGTGCAGTTCTGTAATTTACTTAATCCTTATTGCTAACTGGGAATGTCACCTTGCGGCAGATGTCAAGCTACGGTGGCTCGCTCCCAGAATCCTGCGAGGCTTTCTGAGAGCTGGGAAACGTTTGCCTCCTCCTCTCCCCCCCCCCNTTGTTCTGCCATTTTCCTCACAAACTATCTGTGCCAACGCTCCTAAGAGGCATTTCTATTTCAATCCATGTGACCTAACCTTTCTGGGCTTCAGATCCATCATCTAGAAAATGGAAATGCAACGCTGGAAGACTAACTTCATTTCAGTATACATCACCTGCTTTTTATCAGCCAACATTAGTCTTTTCAGGTAATAAGAACTAGGTTTACTCTTTTAAAAGCCACAAAGGAACAAACCTGGTTCTGAATATAAATCTCTTTATTGCAGCAATGCCACAAAAAGGTGCACTTTCTTTTTTTAGGTTTTAGGTGCAAATGCACTGGGGAAAATGGACATTTATAGACTAATGAAACCTTAAAACTCAACTAAAATATCATCTAGGCCTGCCCCTTTCATTTATAATAAGAAAAATTAGACGTAAAGAGACCAAAAACATGTGATTGTCTTAAATTTAGAAAGCTAGTTCGTGGAAGGTTCTAGTACAGATACAATCCACTTTTCCTATAGTACCAGCTTAGTCTATGTTTCCAGTGGACGATTCATAAACACACTCAGATAAATTCAAAGGATACCTATAACTATATGCCCCCAAAAGTGAATTTCAAGTGAATTGTTATAAATCTAAAACTATATTTGCTATCTTCAAAAATGCTGAAGGAACGCTCCAGGGAAGGTTAAAAAATAAGTTGCAGGTGTTGACCGTTAACCCAAGACTTGAAATCCAACCAACATCAAATCTGTTACTTCACAGTCAATTGTGAGATATTGTGCATGCTTTGATGTGTTGTTTGGGATTTCAGATCTTTGGATATTTCTCCTCTGAAGAAGATGCTCTTGCTTCCCAGATGGATGAAGAAAACTTGGTTTTCCTCGTGTCTAGAAAACAGCGAGTTGTAGTTTCAGGTGATATAGTTAATTTACCTTCCAATCAATATGGGTTTTACTATTTTCTCAAAAATAAATATGGGGGATGTAACATTTCCATAAAATCACTTCTAATTTTATTAACTTGCTAAATATGTTATAAGGGGAGGGGGGGAAGTGACAGTTCCATATGCAATACCGGAAAAACTGGACCTGCAGTTGAGTTTGAAATATTATCACTGTAGGGCACTCATTAGGAAATGTGAAAGGGGGGATGTCACATTATCCTGGGGAGGTGCAGCTCTCAAGTTAAAGCTCTCTGCATTGTCACCTCAATAATGCGTGCTCCAGTCCCAAATGGAATCACGTTTCTTTTAAAATATTCTTAAAATTGAATTTTCGAGCTTTCACTAACTAAACCGCCTTCCCACACCCTCATCCTCAATTATCTCATGGAGGTTTCACCCTACATGTAAAACTGGGCATTTGGGCCAGTCACAGAGGGGTGTTGGCTCAGTATAGGAGGTCTCCAGTTTACATGTCAGTTATTTTTCAATTTGAGCCTGGGACCCAGGAACTCCCATCCCCTCCACCGTTGACACTGCAAGTTTTCTTTCCTTTTCTCCCTCCAGGGAGGGAGAGCTTCAGCAAGGGGAAGGGGAAGCCTTGGGACCTGCCCTTGTCCCCCCACACTTCATCCCAGATTCTGAAATGAAGCGCCTAGCTTAGGGCGAATCTGGTCTTCCTTAAAAAGTCACCCAGAGCTTACTTCAGTCATTTGTGAACCAAGCCCACCCTTGTCTTCAATGCTTCCTTAGCCCAACCTAGGCCTCACCAGAGCCCAGCCTCTGGCCATGGTGGGAACTCATCACAGCGAGGGAGCTGTGCCTGCTGCCACCGCCACCGAACTGAGGAGAGACCAGTGGGCAGGGCACACAGGTTGCTGGCCTCCTAAGTTCGAATTTTGAAAGCCTCTTTCTAGGTGGCAGTTGGGTTCTATAGTTCGTTTATTCACTCAACAAACATCTCTTAAGGTCTACCATTTGGGCCAGGTATAGCTTTCTAAGTGCTGGGGCACAACAGTGAACAATCATAAATCCCTGACCTCATGGAATTTACATTCTAATGGAGAGAGAAAAACAATCAAAAAACATCAAACAAGTAAAATCTATAATATGTCAGATGGTATTAAGTGGCACAGAAAAAAAATAAAAGCAAGCAGGTTGTGAAAGAAGTAGGTTTGGAGACTGGAACATGGTGTTGGGATTTTAAATAGGAGGGTCAGGGAAGACGCACTGGAAAGGTGACAGAAGACCTGGAGTTGATGAGGGGGCAACTCCTCCAGGCAGGAGTGGAGAAGGGGGCACACTAGGAGAAGACAAGGTTCCAGAGGCACCAGTGGGGGTGGGGGCAGATGTCTAGAGCCAGGGCCATGCGAAAGACTTTGGAGTGACACAGAAAGCTACAAGAAGGCTGCAGACAGAGGGGAGCCATGGTCTGAGTTTATTCTGCCTTCTGGGTTGAAAATAGTCTAGTGGGGAGGGAGTGGAAGCAGAGAGAATGGAGGTGGCTTGGAATAGAATAGTGCTCTTGGTCTGATTTTCATTACTGATCCCCTAAGGAATCTTTTAGCTATTTTTTTTGTTATTCTGGGTCCCTCTTACCCCCAAGCCCTTCCCAGTCCCCTTCCCCCAGCCCATGGCATTTTAATACCTCAGACATACGGTGTATCTGTTTTGTACCAGAGGTATACCTGTGAGACAGACAGAGTGAGACATTCACACACTCCCCAAAGCCAATCTGCACCTTCTGGAGGGCAATATTTTCTCTGCTGAGGATGCATGGATTAGGATGATACAACTAGAGTATGAGATCGTTCACTGGCTTTTCCTGTCTAAAAGTTTACAATTATAAAAACTAAATCACCCTGCGAAAAGGCCCAATACGCGTGACTTTCTCAGTCAGCACACAGGCAAAGAACCATGAAAGTGTCTAGTGGTTTTTTCCAAAATGCACCAAGTAAAAAGAAAGCTTAGTAACAGTATTAAGGGAGTCTCATCTTTTATGCTGGAAAGCCTGAGATAGTGCTAGGTTTTTGTTCTGTGTGAAGCATCATGAGGACAGTTCAAAAAAAGGATTCCTGAGATGTGTGTGTGTGTGGGGGGGATCAAAAAATTATTGCAAAAGGTGTTTGGAAAACTCATCCTCTGAAATGTGCACCTGTGTGGGGGGAAGGTGTGTATCTCATATTTTC